GGCAGCCCTAGAGTCCCGTCCTGACCCACACCCACAGACAGCCCACCCCACATACCATTCTCAGCGCTGCGAAGTTTTTCCTCCAAGGCCACCCCACGGTGCTCCAGCTGATCCAGCTGGTGCTCGATGGCATCCATCTCCCCATAGATGTCTTCCTCGGGGATGTACTGATCTGTCTGCACCTGCCAAACCACAAGGCAGAGACTTCCATTACCATCAACCTCCAGTTTCCAGGGGTAATGCTAAGGCTGGTCAACACTAACGGGGGCGGGCGGACAACAGACCACTCCACTTAAGCGTGGATCCAAAATCCCCACCCCATTCTGGAGCAAAGGCAGACCATGGCACTGCCATCAATGGGGTCTCAGCCTAGACACCGCCCTCCCCAGCCACAGCCACCCGCTGCAATCCCTACCCCCACACACATCAGCAGGGTGCATGCACACAGCTATGGGCCCGGGCGATAGTACAGCACTGGCTTTTGCCCCCCTACTCCCAAGGGCCCTTTTACCTTGCGTTTGATCAGCGGGAAGCCATGACCCGGGGCAGGAGGACGCACTGGCTTGGAGCCCTTGGGAGGTTTCTTTGCAGAGGGGGAGGCAGCAGGTGATGGCTTCCGGTTGAAGGGGTTCTCTTTGCAGGAAGACTGGAGAGGGGGCACAAAATGAGATACGTGAGGGTCCCAGAAAGGGAAGGGATATAGCATCCCAACAGCTGGGACTGAGCAGACAGGGTAGCCCTAGGGTTTGTCCTACCCCACACCCTCCTAGAGGAGGAACACAGCACCGATCTCCGCCAGCAGCCTAGCCATGGAGCAAAAATCAGCTCTGCTCCTGTTTGGCATCAGCGCCCCAGCTTCTCTCTAAACAAACACACCGAATTATTTTCCTTCATGGTTGCCTTCCTATTTGCTCTGACCACACAACATCCTGCCTCTTCTCTAACACATGGGGCAGGCAGAGTACGAGCAGAGCCACCATCTAACGAGCACATGCCGGGGGCTTGCTTTCAGGGGATCCACCACCAAACCTACCTAAGGGGCAAGCCTAGACTCATGATCCCCACTCTGACCGAGTGATGGATGGGGAAGAAAAGCCCCCTGATCTGGATGGGAGGAAGGTCACCATCTCACCTTCAGCTGTGGCTTGGGCGAGGAGGGCGTCTTAGGGCTCCCAGCACCCCCATCTGAAGCCAAGAGGATGGGTGTAGGGCTAGCCCCAGCTGGAGGCTTGGGGGGCCGCCGGCCGGGGCGGGGGTT